CATTCTTTCACTTCTTCATCTTTTCTTGCTCCTCTTCTCCTCCTCCTTCTCTTTCTTTTCCTTCTTTCTCCTCCCCCCTCTCTCCTCCCTTTCATTTTCTAAGCCTACATTTCTCATGTAGCCCAGGTGTTGAATTTTTTGGGGGAGCCCAGAATGACCCTGAATTCCTCCCTTCTCAGTCTCCAAAGCGTTAGGACTGGCAGGAGCAGGCGGCACTGGAGAGATGGCTCACCAGTTAAGGTCACACACTGCTCCTGCAGAGGACCCAAATTCAGCTCATGAGAGTGCCCTGTAACTCCAGCTCCAGGGGGATCTGACACACCTGGCCTCTATGGAAGCCTGCACTTACATGCACACACCCACGCACAGACACACGAGAACACACATCTTTAAAAAAAAAAAAATGAATTACGGCAGTGTACGAGCCATGTGCCTGGTTTATATAATGTTGGGGTTTGAACCCAGGGCTTTTTGAAAGCCAAGCAAACACTCTAGCAACTGAAAGCCCTAACCTTCGACCAGATCCATGTTTATACACTAAGCAGGCACTTATCCTGGCCAGAAATCCTTCATGGAGTCTCCACTTGGTTTCTAACATTCTGACCAAATCTCCTACCATCCATCCCCACATCACTTCAGGCTTCAGGCCAGATACCAATGGTTCTGGTGAGGTTTTTTTGTTTTTCTTTTTTTTTTTTTTTTTTTTTTTTTTCCTGCTTGCCTCTGCCTCACCGCTCCTGCTGCTCACACATTAACCTTAGGCCAATGTTTCTATGTTACTATTTGTGTGCATGACTTGCTTGCTTCCCAGTGTTTCTTAAGGGCCTATGGTATCCTGGGAGTGCGTACTAGGTATTTGACATGTGCTGTCTAATTCAATGCAGTCCTCACTACAGCCCTGTGAGATGAATATGACCCCCTCCATTTAATAGGACAGGAAGCTGAGGCTGTTGGAAGTTAATGATCTTGATTCCTTACTAAGTAGCACGTCGTCACTCACTCAACAAATTTTATTCCAATCCATGTCTGCCAGATTCCTAGGACCCCCCTGGGCCTTTCAGCATGGATGGGGAAGTCCCTCGGGGGGCAATTAGCACAGCAGCCTCAGGACTGGGCAGACCATGTCAAAGGCAGTTTTTTGCTCCTCTCCTTCGATTTGGATTTGTTGCACTATGAAAAAAAACATGTGTGGCTCCCAGTCAGCACTTAGCCTGGGCCAACACAGTGATTCATGTGGACAAACATCATCCAGGATGTTTAGTTCCACTGGTGACCCTGATTGTTGTAAAACTGTGACAGGAGTGCCAGACCCTGGCACGTGTCCAGCAGTTTCCACTCCCAGTGCTCTGCCACCTCAATAAAACCTCGAGCCAAGTCTCCCCTCTTCCTGCTTCAATCCGGAGGGAGGCCTCAGCTTTTGTAGATAACCTGTGACAACATTACTGTCACTAGGATCAGGCTTGGCTTGATAAGAGCCCCTGGCATTAATACCCTACATAGATTCAAGAAATTCATATGAGAATCAAGACCTGAGAAGATGGAGTCTCCCTTGAACTAGATTCTCACCTTTCAGGGTTGCAAACCCCCACACTAGTTGGATCAGTTCATATTGCCTAATATGAAGAACTCCACAATAATGGACTCATTCTTTCCCTCCTTATTTTGGAGTCAAGAGTGTTTAGAGGCTGTTTGCTCAAGGAGAATATGGGCACTGAGGGCTTGCTGATGCCCATGGCCAATGAGCATGCCTGCAAAGCCATTTCAACCTGGCAAGAGGTGTGGATCTAATTAAAGAGTCTGAGCCAAGAAGAAGGGTGCAGTGATTCCATTTTGTACTAGAGGTGCATTGTTTTCTTTCAGTCTTCAAGACAGTCTTCTCTGAGGTTGACATTTTCAGGATGTCCATTCCATGACTCCCAAAGCTGTGGAGTTGTGCACCACCGCCCTCAGCTCACTCAACCTTAAGCAAATAATGGTTGTTTAACTAGGTCTAAAGATAAAAATCGCATACAAAGTAGAGATCATAAGTTAATATTCTTCCCTCCCTCTCAACCAAGAAGGAGTAAGTGTTCAAGATCTGGCAACCAGCAGTTGAATGGTGGACTTCTTATCATCCATAAAGGAAATGAAGATGTTTAATTCTTAGGCAAGGGAATTTGACCACAGGCCACCAAGGCCAGGGAACCAATGTTCTCTGGTCATCTTTAAAACAGATCATGAAGTGGCTTGTTATAAATGTGATGGCCAGAGCCAGGGTATAATTGGGACTAGTAAAAGTTCTAAAAAGCCCATTGGCTGGGGTCATTTCCAATTTTTGATGATTTTTTCCCAGTATGTATATTTATGGTATGTCTATTTTTTTATTTATTTTTCTTATTTTACATATCGATCCCAGTTCCCTCTCCCTCCCTCTATGGTATGTATGTTAATATGCGTACCCACATTCCAAATCAAGGTCAAAGGATGACTCTGTGGAGCTGAGGAGCCTGTCTCTCACTATGGAGCTGAGGATGAACTTGAATTTCTGATCCTACTGCCCCTACCTCTCATGTGCTGAGGAAACAGACATATGCTTCCATGCCTTGTTTATTCAGTCTTGGGGAATCAAACCTAGGGCTTCATGCATGCTAGGCAAGCATTCTATAAACTATGCAAAATGTGAGAGATTTGAAAACATGCCAAAAGTCTAGCACTGTAGAAGGAATGCTAAATGTCAAACTGAGCTAAGGTTAAAATAATCCTTGTAGCTACATCCCAGCTACGGGTCACTTCATAAAAAAAAAATATATTTTATGCGTATGAGTGCTTGCCAGCATGTGTGTATGTATGCCACACACGTGCAGTGCCCTCAAAGGCCAAGGGAGGGTGTCAGATCTCCTGGAACTGGAATTACAGATGGTCATATGGGTACTGGGAACTGAACCCAGATCCTCTACAAAAGCAGCAAGTTCTCTTAACCACTGAGCCATCTCTCCATCCCCAGTGGGTCACTTTAAATATTAATGAACCCTTTAAGTCAAATTTCATTTGTGTAGAATTCCCCCTTGCTTCTTTCATGATTTGTTATGTTGTAGACAGGCTAGTGCTTAGGACCTCTACATATTAATACTTCTCATGGGACTGAACCAGCACTGTTAACTAACATCGGTGACTTAAAAGGACTGTTTTAACCCCTCAAAACTTTAGCTGGGTTTGACATTTAGCATTCCTCCTATAGTGCTAGTTTTTTTGGCCTGTTTTCATATCTCTCGCATTTTGCATAGATAAATTTTACTCTGCCTTCCCCAGTATAGTTCTTGTAAACATTTTGTTGCCTCTACCATATGGTTTTAAAGTCACTTAAGCACAAAGCAACTATTATTTCACTAATACAGAAGCTATCTAATATTGCTACTCTTAATGCCATATGCCCCCAAAAAGTTTTTCAAAAAAAAATTTTTTTTACTTAGAAGACATTCACTACCTAATGTCTGAATTATGTTGCTAACGTTTTAAAGACACCTTGAGAAAGACTTATGGCATATGTCAGCAGAAGTTCAGAAAAGAGGGTGGCAGAAAACACGTTAAAGAACTCAAAATCGAGAAAAGGTGGGACATGCTAAACACTCAACAAAATGTGCACGGGAACAGGCTTCACTCCTGCAAGAACCACTGTTAGCATCCCCAGGGCAACTGGGTGTTAACACGCAGGGCATGCTACTGAGCGGACTTCCCACCCTCGAACCCCAAGGATCCTGACTCCAGTCTCCTACTTTTCCCCTACTTAACTCTTACCTGTTTGGCCTCAGTGTTTTCGATCACTTTTTAGGAAATTTCACCCCATATGGAAAGCAACTCCTGTCTTCTTTCTCTTTCTTTCTAGGGATACTCACTCCTTCGGACCTTACTCGCTGGGCCAGAGCTGAGAGCTTGTGGGGGTTATCTATTTTAGGAGTCCCCCAATGGGTTGGCCTCCCCCATGACAACGCCAGCCTGCTCTCGCCCCTAACCCCCACCCCCCGGCCAACCTCTACTACTCATCCCTAGAAAAATTTGAACTCTGTGGCCCCTGAAACTATGCCTGGGTCCCCCAGGTCTCCATCTGACCCCCCCTTTTTTTTAACCAAAGTGAGATCAGGTCAAGGGGGTGGAGTGAACAGTACCTCTTTGCAGGCGTGAAGCTCGGGTCCGGTTCCCAGGGTCACCTGGAAGGTGGTACCAGCCCAAAGCAACAGCCACATAAGCGGTGATGTGAGCCTTTCAGTTCTTCCTCCGCCTCTGGCGGAGGGGTGAGGGTTGAGACCAGACTCAGCCATAGCGCTGTCCTGAGCCAGCGGCAGTAGCGGCTCAGGTGCTGCGGAGGCAGCTTATGCTGGCAGAAGGAGGAAAAAAGAGGAGGGAGGTACACAGGGGGAGGATGCAAGGGGCTGGACTCGCTTCAGTCACCTCCCTGCGGCTACGCCAAGGCCGCCCATCCTTCCTCCTCCCTCGATCCTCTCCTCCTATCCACGTCGCCTTGACAACCGCATCCTCTTCGCTCAGCGCGGGTGGGGCAGGGACCACGCGCGCCTCTGCCGCTCACCTGCCGGTCTCCATGGCAGCCGCCACCGCTGGCGCGAGGCGTGGGAGTGCGCGCGCCAGGGTTTGCAACAAACCCAACAGGTTTACGTAAAGCACAAGGTAGAAGAACCCTTCAAACCATCTGCAGCAGTACACTTCACCCCTATTGCTCTTCCCCGCCAGGGGTTATTTCTAAGCACCTCTTATTTTGTAAACGTGAAATGACAAAGGGAAGACAGACGTCATCTCTACCTTAAAGGGGTCATCTCCTAGAGTGGCCCCAGCACTAACTGCAAAAGCTACTTCCATCCTTCCACCCCGCCAAATCCATCCATGTTTTTACAGCCGGGTTGATGAGTAACCCTGACGTCTGCATAGTTAAACAGCTAGGAAAGTGACCTAACCAACAATTTTCCAATCAGGACACGTGAGATCTTCGGGTTTTTGACATTCTTGTACTCTAATTGCTTTGAAAATGGGGAAGCTTTCTTTTAGGTGAGGGGGAGAAGGAAACCTGTAGGTCATCCTAAAGGACTTCTTTCGTCAGCTTTTGCAGAACTCCCTTGCTGTGGGAGGCCAGCGTTTTCCAGCTGAGGCTCCAGAGTGCATATCCAGGTCTCCTTTCCTCGGTATTCGGTATTCACAACAGCCTCCTCACAAGGAGCCTTCTGAGTTGAACCGCCAGGTGGCGCATCTCTCGAAGGGAATTCATCTCTGTCATAAATGCAGGGGTAGTTGCCTGGCAACCAAAAAACGGGGCGTTCCAAACAATTGGGACCCGGGATCCTCTAGGAGCCAGGTCGTGCTACGGCTGCGCTAATCTTCTGGGGATAAACCTGCGCCTTTGGGCCTTTAAGCATGCCTCACTCTCAGGAATCTTACCCGCACCCTGCGTTAAGTGATGAAGACACACACTTGCGGGCTTCTAAGGTACTGAGGTTTCCTCAGCAAATTCCCAGTGGGGTCTCCAGCAGACTCCTAGTAACTTAACTCTGGTGAGACCACCGGGTACCAGAGAAATCTGTTTACTGTCTGTCTCCTTGGCCTGTTATTCGGGTCTGCTAACGTTTCAGAAGTGGTTTTGAGCAGAGAGGGAAGCGAACTCTATTGTAGAATAAGGCTCATCAAAGGAATAACTGTTATGAGTGATGGGGGAAACTGGGTTCCACCAAGCTACCATTTCTTCTTCTTGTATTAAAATCTGTACTCCAAAGACAGATGAAATGTGGACTAGAAAATACTCCTCTGAAAGACACCAGGTCATACTTCAAGCAAATCTTCGCAATACCTCTGTCTTCTGGCTAATGCAAGAACACATCTGTAGATGTGTGTATTTAATTTAATTGTGTTCTGGAAATACAAACCATGTTTTTCCTAGTATAAGTATTTGCGATATTTGATGAGGTATACAATGAAGTGAATTAAGTGGTAATTTGATCTCAATAACAACACAAAAGAGTGTCCTTCTAGTCAATATTAGTTGTTTATATGCCAGACACTCTGCTAAACACTGAGGGCATATAGTCTAAAATTAGATATAGTTACTGTCCAGCTTAGATAAGCTAAGCATATGCCTGTAATCCTAGCATTTGGAAGGCAGGAGAACCAGGAATTCTAAGCCTGCCCAAGCTATAAAAACCTGTTTACAAACAAACAAGCCCACACACATAACACAAAAATGTGTGAAACATATATTGTGAAGGAGTCAAAGATAGAATGCCCTGGGAATAGAAACTTGAAGGAGGGTTTCTCAGAGAAGATGAGTGACATCTAGATGAGCTAGCCAGTGGAGATGAAAGGGAGGGGTGTGTGTGTGTGTGTGTGTGTGTGTGTGTGTGTGTAAGGAAAGAAAAAAGCAGATACTTATGGGAAAGGAAGCTGTAGGTACATGGGAAGGAGAAACAAAGTGGCCTGGGGAACTGCAAATCCAGAAGAGCTAAAGTTGATGCTAAATGTTGGGACCACGGATGCTAAGGACCAGACCTTGGTGGCAGAGTGTTGTGAGCATTGCTAGGTGGGCTAGGAATAAGCCTGGAATAAGCCTCATGTTGGGAGTCATGAGATTTCAAGCACTGGAGTGTTATGATTAGAGTGTGTTAGAAATCACACACAGCTATGTGCATGTCTTTCAGTAAATGTGTGTTAAATGAGTATAAGCAAAATGGAGGGCCTACAACCTCAGCTACATAGCAAGTTCAAGACCAGCCTAGGTTATATGAGTCACTGTCCTAAAAAACAAAACTGGTAAAAAAAAACAAAAAAAAAAACTGGTGGCTTATGTGGATAAACTTGATTGATGGGGGATGCCATTAACATTTATGGGACTGGTCTTAAGAGTATCATGTACTCAGCTCCATAAGTTAGTTGTAAATTAGAACTGTTGATAAAAATGTACTTTGGTTATATCCTTGACTATTATGTGAATAGAGTGTGGCCATAGTGAAAGTGAAATTAGAATCTCAAGACAGCTTGCTGTGGTACTCCCAGATACCCAAAGGATTGGAGTCAGCAGGAAGTTGCCTATGAACATTTACTATGGCACTGAGTCACAATACCCAAGTTAAGAACCAGCCTAGATACCCGGCCACATGAATGGGCAAACTGTGCTAGACATACACCACCAAGCATTATCCACTCATAAAGAATAAGGGAGACGAGGCAGATTCAGAAAGGCAGATGTGGCAGATGTGTGTTCTAGTTTTAAATTAAAGATGTAAGATTGGAGCAGCTGCATGGTAGAACACTTGCCCAGCATGAGCTTGATCCCAACACAACAAGGGGGAAAGGGAACATGAAAATAGAGAGGGGACTGTTTGTTTGTTTGTTTTTCAAGACAGGGTTTCTCTGTATTGCTTTGGAGCCTGTCCTGGAAATCGCTCTGTGGACCAGGCTGGCCTCAGACTCAGAGATCCACCTGCCTCTGCTTCCCAAGTGCGAGAGGACTGTTTGTAAAAGAAACAAAAGGGGATAATGGGGGATAAATATGGTCAGATTTTTATGCAGGTATAAAGATATCATAATGAAGCCTGTTTTATATGGTTAGTTTGTGCTGATAATAGATTAAATTGGCTAATGTACAGAGACTGCTTTTATGTATGCCTATCACAGAATTAATTAGTGGTCAATGAATGCAATCTCTTCTTGCCCTTAAAAAAACAACAACAAAAAAAAAGAATGACAGACAGGAAGGAAGGAGAGAAAGAGGGAGGGACAGAGAGGAATAAAGAAGGAAGGAAGGAAGGAAGGACGGGAGAAAGGAAGGAAGGAAGGAAGGAAGGACGGAAGGAGTCACACACCAAGTGGACACAGGTACCTCAGCTTGGAAACAGGTTTAGCAATCCTGAAGAAGGGGAACCAACAGCAGTGACATGGCCATAAGATACATGTTTGAGAGGGATGAAAAGGGCCGGGCAGTGGGATTTGATAACTTGATATGGACCAAAGAAAATAGATAAATATAAAGTAGACTCCTGGGTTCTGAGAGCTTAATTGATACCATCACTGAGATGGAGCATCCCAAGGAAGCAGGTGTGGGCAGAAAGGTGTTGACACCAATCATGCGGATGTTTCTGTGGTGCCTGTGACATTTTTAAATGATTTTGTGGGTAGGGAGGCTTGAGAGGTCTGGGTTGAAGATGTATGTCTGGGGCTGGCATGCTGTTTGAAATTGTGTTGAAAAGCAGTGTGTCCTGGAAATATAAGAATAAAGCCAGAAGGAACACTCCCAGAAGCAGAAGGCTAATCTCAGAAGAAGGTGTAAAAGCCAGAGACCAAAGTTACACCAGGAGTTGGCCTTGTAAGATGAAGAAGTATTTGTGGAGATTCAGAGTTACAGTGCCAGAAATCTCAGGAATCAAAGGACAGGATTGGGAAAGATCCTTCTAGTATACACAGAGATCACAGCTCCACAGCCAGGAAAGGTTCAGTGGGCACTGGAAGAGGGCCAGACTACAAAGGGTTGGAGACATGAAGAGTGAATAAGGGAAGACAGTAATTGTTGGCCCTTGAAGAAGCGTGGGTCTGTGGAGAAGGAGACACTGTGGCAGATGTATCTTGATGAAAGGATAGTTGAGATGTTGGGGCCAGATGAGGATGTGGGAAAAAGTACAGGTTCAAAGAACAGGGAAGGGCTGGGTCAAAGAAACTTCCTTCTGAGGGCAGGACTTCTCCCTGTGACCAAAGGAAGGAGGTCTGCAGGCTGGCTCTGCTGATTGACAGTTGGTTTTATTTATTTATTTATTTGTTTATTTATTTATTTATTTATTTTCTGTTGTTGGTTTTCTCAAGACAAGGTTTCTCTGTGTAGGCCTGGCTGTCCTGGAACTCATACTGTAGGCCAGGTTGGCCTTGAACTCACAAAGATCTACCTGCCTCTGCCATCCAACCTTAGTGAAAGGCAATTGGGTGGTGCCAATAGAGGAGAGGGCAAGCTTATATGACCCTTGAAGAAAGCGGCAGAGCAGCTGAGGGCCATGGAGGGGGTAGCTAAGCCTGTGTTTACATATTTGCCTGATCCTACTGTCCAACTAAGTTTAACTGAGTTGAGTCACACAGTACTTTGCTACATGGAGGAAGAGGGAGCTAGATGGAAGTATTTACTAGAGTCAGTCACTGGTCATTGGTTTGGTTTGATCAGAGCATAGTTTTTATGTGTTAGGTCAGCATGCTTGGTACTGAGGATGCAGTCGTGAAAATGGCCAATGTCATATACAAGCCAAACCAACTTTGTGTTTTTCTCTCATGTCTGCACTTTATAGAACACAGTGTCCATTGAGCTTTTTCTGACATTCCTTTCCATCACTGATCCTTTCTTTTTCTTTTCTTTTCCTGTTTTTTTTGGGGGGGTTGGTTTTTTTGTTTGTTTGTTTTTTTGTTTTGTTTTGTTTTGTTTTTCAAGACAGGGCTTCTCTGTAGCTTTGGAGCCTGTCCTAGAACTAGCTTTGTAGACCAGGCTGGCCTGGAATTCTCAGAGATCCACTTGCCTCTTCCTCCTGAGTGCTGGGATTAAAGGCATGCACCATCAACCACTACTGGACAAGTTATCCTTTCTTGGATAAACTTTCTGATCTCTTATGGGACCTTCCTTGCCCCGGTAAAAACACTGTCCTAGTTGACCCTTTTGATCAGGCTTTTCCTACAGAATTCAACTACTAGCATCTATTTGGACAACTTGATCTATCTTCTTTGATTTCAGCTCTCCAGCAAGCCATACACTTCCAGTTTACTCTTAGTTTCATCTTTTCTCCAGACTCAGACTTCTAAACATACCATCTTTCTGATCTGTTCACCAAGCCTCCTCCACTCCCAGCATCTTGATCTATCAGCTTCTTCTGTTTTCCTGGCCCATTTCAATCATTTCTCACTTGGAAGGCTTAGGGAGTCCTGCCCCTGTGATCACTCATCTCTTTGTAGCTGTCCTTATGAGATTCAAGTAAAATGGGATGGGACACAGTGATGAATGTGACCCATGCTGTATCAGTAGGGCCTCCTGTAACCAAGTCCTGCATGTTCTTTCTCTTTTTCAGAAATTGCAATGTAAGAACCCAACTCACCTTGCTCAGCAGCAGGAACCCTGGAATCGGCTCAGCTCAACTCCCACAATTACCTCCATGAGGAGAGATGCCTACTTTTTTGATCCCAATGTACTTAGCATTGAAATACTACTTCTTTTTTCCACATAGGGCTCAATGAACATCTTCTATTTTATTTTACTTAATTTGTTTTAGATAGGATCTGCTACATAGTTAAAGTTGACCTCAAACTTAGTATTCAGCCTAGACTGGCCTAGAACTCTCAATCCTCCTGCCTCAGCCTCCTGAATACGGACATCATGAGCATATGCCAGCACACCAGGCATTCACATTGTTTTCTTAGGTAGTCTGAAGTACCTCAGCATCTTTCCTTTTGCTCCCAATTCAAGATCTTACCAAATCCAAAGCCAACCTATTAAGTCACAAGGCTTACTCCAAATCATTTTTATCAAATTTCTGTCACATGCTGTAGTAAATCAAAGACTGACCCAGGCAATAGTGGCGCACACAAATGCCTTTAATCCCAGCACTTGGGAGGCAGAGGCAGGAAGATCTCTCTAAGTTAGAGGTAAGCCTGGTCTACAGAGCGAGGTCCAGGACAGCCAGGGCTACATAGAGAAACCCTGTTTTGAAAAGTGAAAACAAAAACAAACAAAGGCTGAATTTAACAATAAATGAGATAAGGTTTGTCATACCCAAAGACCATTATTTCCATGTCACCTGTGAACTTAGCACTCTTAGCCTGCCATAGGAGATCATTCCTATGGACAAGAGTTGCAAAGTCACTATCATGCACAATGTAGTGTTAGGTGCTGGTGGGTCTCTGCTCTTCTGGATGCAATCTGAATACAATAGCTAGATGCAATCTGACTAGGATCAAGGCACACAACAGCCAAGTTAACTGTGAGAGGACTGATTCCTCTGTAGATACCAAAGGATGATCTGGATTTCCGCTTAACAGCCTTGTACGACCACCACACAGGGGCGTTCAAGAACAAGACTGAGATTCTGCTACATCAGGAAACCATTCAGGATATCTGTGGGTAAGTGACAGAAGTAGATCCTCTCCGCTCTAAGGATGCTACCATCAATTACACAGGGTAAAATTGACATGTGGCAATAGGAACAAATACATAGTTGGTTTATGTGTTTGTTTTGGTTTTTTTGAGACAGGGTTTCTCTCTGTAGTCTTGGCTGTCTTGGAACTTTGAAGACCAGGCTGGTCTTGAACTCAGAGATCTGCCTGCTTCTGCCTCTCAAGTGCTGAGAATAAAGGCATGTACCATCGCTACTACCTGGCATAGTTTTTTGTTGTTGTTGTTTTGTTTTGTTTTGTTTTTTTAAATCTGTAGAATATTTTGTTTTGTCTTAAATGTGCTGGGAATCAAACCTAGGGTATCATGCCTGCTAGGCAAGTGCTGTATCACCAAGCTACATCCTTAGGCCTCATTTCTGTATTTCATTTTCTAAAATGAGCAGAAACCCTCATCTAGATAGTTCATCTATCCCGTTAAGTTCATCAGGATATATAAGCAAATGCTTTGATAATTCTAGAAGGTAAATAAGGCCTTGGACTTGAAATCTTACAAAACTGTTTTTCCCTCTCATAGTTTTCTTTCTGGTTGACACCACTCGCCTCTCTTCTCTTCCCACCATTTTCTAGAAGCAAGATCCAGTTTCCTGGAGAATTTTTACACTCTCCTCCGGCCCCCATCACTTCCCGGGCTAACATCAGACACTGGATCAACCCTAAGAAAGAATCCATCCACAGCATCCAGGGATCCATAGGTGAGGGTCAGAAGATGGGGTGGCAGCGGGGCGGGGCGGGGCGGGGCGGGGCGGCAGCGGGGCGGGGCGGGGCGGGGTGGCAGCGGGGCGGGGCGGGGTGGCAGCGGGCGGGGCGTGGCGGTAGCAGGGTAGCATTGCATTCTCGGGGGCTCAGAGTTACTGGCTGGCAGGAAGCTGGGAGACTACAGAGGATGGGAATTAGTGATTAAGTTGCCACCTACTAAACTAATACTAAGGGTCATGATGACAATAGAACTAGAGAATTCAGTTTTTTAGATGAGGTCTAGGTGACAATTCGAGCAGGGCAGGCACAGAACATGAGTTTGGGAATGAAGACCTTAGTTAACGTCCATTAGTCCATCATATGCCAATTTCGCATATTTACAAGACTCTTCTCATGGTACCAATGCATTCTTTGATTGAAGGATTAAAAGAAGGGATGGGTGCATAGGGTCTGGAATCCCTGCTCACCCCGTTCTCTTTTCTCCACAGTGTCTCCTCACACTGCAGCCACCAATGGAGGTTACTCCCGAAAAAATGATGGTGGCTTCTTCTCCACCTAGTGGTGACAACTAGGCTAATTTCACTATGGTAGAACATCCAGCCGTCCTTCTTCATTAAATAGGTTTGTTCAAGACGAAGCCTAAAGTGTCTGCCGCCCATGGCACGTTTGATCACTCTTAAAATGAAGAAAACACCCCAATACTAAAACCCTGTTGGAACTTGGAAAGTCATTTTGCCAGGAGGATTTAGGACAGACCAACACTGGTTTGGAAGGGACACAGGTATTTACAAGATGGTAAAGTCACAGCTACACAGAGCCACATTCAGGGGCACAGGAACAATTGTCTTAATGGGCAAGGTATCACTATGATACTAAACGCACCATGTAGCTAACTGCTAAAGTCCCACTAACAGACTTCAGATTCTTAGGTTTACTCATTTGCTTTTCTCTGGTTCCACTTTTTGCCATCCCCCAGTCTCTGACTCTCTTCTGCCTGGAAGTCAACTCTCCTTTCTATGTTAATTTTGCCTGTGGCATGTAGCACCAAATCTCCTAAGAATTGTTCAAAAACTTCAAGGTCCCTAAAATGTTGATGCATTACCATGGTTTCTAATCTTACAAGTCATGGGGCGGGGCAGTGGCTCAGTGGATGAAGTGTTTTATGTGAAAGTATGAGGACCTGAGGTTTGGATCCCCAGCACACATCTGTAACTGCGGTGCTATAGGAGCTATGGGGTAGGGGGAGGCAGATCCTAAGGGCTTGCTGCTGGTCAGCCAGTCCGACCAGCTTATATCAGAGACCCTGTCTCAAATAAACAAACAGTAAGGCAGAGAGGGAGAGAGAGAAAGGAAGACACCCAACTTCAACCTCTGCTCTCACGGATGCACACAGAGGGATGTGAATCTACACACACATCATCATCATCATAAAGAACTTGTTATCACAGAAAGAATGGGGTAAAATGGTTATGATATTTTGTTTATGTTCTGACAAATAAAGCTTGTCTGGAGATCAGAGGATAGAGCTAGCCACTAGTTAACCATGGAGGTCTGAAGGTCTGTTCAGAGAGGAGACAGGAAGTGACAACATGGGCTAAAGACAGGAAATGATAAGAAGGGGTGTAGACAGGGTCTCAGCCCTTTCAGTCTGAGGTTTTGGAGAGGTAAGAAGTGACTGCAGCTGCTCCTTCTCTGGTCTTTCAGCTTTTACCCCAATATCTGACGCCAGGTTTTTATTGATAAGATCAATTAGGATCACACTTCAGAATGGCCTGATGACCTTTTGAATATTGCACTATACGGTATGTGCAATGGTTTGCACCTATAACCCCAGCACTCAGCAGGTGGAGGCAGAGGAATTGCTAGTCCAAACTGGGCTATATAGACACTGTATCAAAAATGTTTTAAAGATACAGAACAATAGTGTACTATGTTCCATTTCTAATTAAGTATGACAATATTGCTTCATTTATAACTCAAATACAAAGGGGAGTTCTTCCAGGAATTGCCATATTCCCTTCCAGTCTCCTCAGATAGTCTCTGCTACCATATGGCAATATTCATGGTCAGCCTTGGCTATATAGTGAGTTCAAGGCCAGCCTGAGATATCTCCAATATTACATGCTGTCTCAAATAAAGTAAAATAAAATCTTCACATTCTGATAATTTGAAAAAAAAAAAAAAAAGAAATTCTTACAATTTTATTTTTCAGGTCAGCATTAGCCTGACACTAAAACCAGACACTTAATATATTCACACAAACACACTCAAACACACACACACATTTCAACAATATCACACACACACACACACACACACACACACACACACACACACTCATTTACAGACATTTTTAAAAAGGAAGAATTAAAGGTTTCTATTTGTAGTGAATTTTACGGTGGTTTGAATAAGAATGGGCTGATTAAAGGTGTGCACCACCTCTCCCGGCTAGGCTCATATATTTGAATGTTTGTTTCCCAGTTGATGGATTGCTGTGAAAGGACTAGGAGTTTTGGCCTTGTTGAAGGAGATGTGCCCCTGGCGGGTGGACTTTGCAGTTTCAAAAGCTCACCCTCAGGACCAGTCTCATCTCTCTCCCTCTCTGCCTCTAACTTGTGGATCTGCTGTAAGCCAGAGAAAGCCAGGCAGAATGAAGAAGATCCAAACCGGAGGGGTATTGCGGTTTAATAAGGATCAGGATAAACAAATAGGCCGAATAGATGTTTATTCAGGGAGAAATAACTTACAACCTAGACAGGTGAACACCAGTAAGTTCCTCTCCGAGTCCTGCCAGCGACCTGGCTCCTCCTCAGACCACCTTCCACAGGACACTTCTGCCCCTGGCTCAACCCCACAATGGGCGTGGTCAGTGCCACAGAAAGAGACAAAGTGAATATCCCACTACAGAGGGGGTTGGGTGGAAATCCAATGGCCATTGTGTGTAGATGGCAAGATCTTACAGGAAGAAAGACCTAAAATTTTCACAAAAATCTATTAGACCTAGTAAGCTCAATATAGTTTCAGGATAAATATCAAAGTGCAAGCCTGTAATCCCAGGTGGCCGAGGCAGAAGAATTATAGTTTCAAGGCTTTCCTAGGTTATAGAATGACTTCAGACTAGCCTGGGGAATGTACTGAGATCTTGTCTCAAGATAAATAAAAAAGGGCTTGGGATATAGCTCATTGATAGAATAATTGTGTAGCATGTACAATGCATGTTCAATCCTCAGTACAGGAAAAAAATTAGCAAATTAAAAACTAGCATTTCTGTGTACCATTAAGAAAATATGTGAACATGAAATCAAGAAAGCAATCCTATTTGTGAACAATTTCAACCATGATGTGAATGATCTCTACAAGGAAAACTATAAACACTGAGAGACAGACACAGAGACATCTTGTATTCATGCATTGGAAGAATCAAGACTGTGAAAACATCCCAAGCATTCTGCAGAGTCAATGCAATCCCTATCCAAACACTAATAACATTCTTCAAGAAAGGAAAGACAATGTTATGATTCATATGGAACTACAAAAACACTGCAATTAAAAGTGAGATGTCTCAGGAGCAAAGTGCCTTACAAGGACCAGAGTTCAACCCCCAGAGTTCTCATTTGAAAATCTGGGGAGGGGAAGCTGGAAAGATGGTTCCGTGATTGAGAGAGCAGTGGCTGCTCTTTCATCAGAGAGGACCAGGATTGATTCCCAGCACCCACATAGGAGCTAACAGTTTTACTCCAGTTCCAGGGTATCTGACATCCTCTCCTGGACTCTGGACACCATGCATACATATGGTATACATGCATGCAGGCAAAACACTCATACATATAAAAATACATTTTAAACAAAGAAGCCAGGCATGGTAGTTCATGACTTTAATTCCAGGACTCAGAAGGCAGAGGAAGGTGGATCTCTGTGTTTGAGGCCTGGTCCACAGAGTGAGTTCCAGGACAGCCAGGGCTACACAGAGAATCCATCTAAAAAAAAAAAGGAAGTGCCTCTGGCCACCATACAGGTGTGCACAGGCACCCACACATGCACTCACATCCTCAACAGCCAAATCTTGAGCTTAAGGTACCTCCCTTAAGAATTTTCAAGGTAGGCCGGGCATTGGTGGCGCATGCCTTTAACCCCAGCATTCAGGAGGCAGAGGCAGGCGGATCTCTGTGAGTTCGAGGCCAGCCAAGCTCCAAAGCAATACAGAGAAACCCTGTCTTGAAAACAAAACAAAAGAATTATCAAGGTAGGAACAGAAACAGCATGTATTGGCAGATACTTAGACCAATTGAGAAGGGGGAAAAGCCCAGAAACAAAGCCCCCACATCCAGCCAATTATCAACAAAGAGCTGCTAAGGAAGCACTTTGGAGCCAGTGCAGTAGTACTCAACTTTAACCTCAGCACTGGGTGGCAGAGGCAGGAGGTTTCTGAGTTCTAGGCCAGAGCTACAGAATGTGACCCATCTTTAAAAAATTAAACAAACTCCTATGTGCTCCTTCCTTTTTTTTTTTTTGTGTGTGTGTGTGTGTGTGTGTGTGTGTGTGTGTGTCAATGTGACACAAACTAGAATCATTTAGAAAGAGGGGACCTCAACTGAGAAAATGCCTCCATCAGACCATCAGACTGACCTGTAAACAAGCTTGTAAGGCATTTTATTCTTTGGGGGTGGGGTGGGGCGCCAGTTTTCTCTATCATATAACTCTGTCCTGGAACTTGCTGTGTAGGCCAGACTGGCTTTGAACTCACAGAGATCTGCCTAATTCTGCCTCCCGAGTGCTGGATTAAAAGTGTGCGCCACCACTACCTGACCAATAGAGCATTTTCTTGGTTGTTGATGGGGAAGGCACAGCCTGTTGTGGGCAGTCACCTCTGGGCAGGTGACCCTGGGAGGCATAAGGAAGGAGGCTGAATGAATGTGTGCCTGGAGATAGCATCGCTTCATGCTCACTGCTTCTGTCCCGACCTCCGTTTCTGCCAGAGCTTTTGCTGTCACTTCCCTCGGGATGTACTGGGACTTGGAAGTATAAGACAAACCCTCTCTTTCAAGTTGCTTTTGGTCAGTGTTTACCATAGCAATAGAACGCAAGCTAGGACAGCATGCAATTGGCCAATGGGTATATGAAAGATTGATGTCACTAATCATCACAGACGTGCAAATCAAATTTACCATGGTACAAGGTGGTACAAGGTCCGGAGCTCAGTTGGTAGAGTGCTTTGTCCATCATGCATTGAACCCTGGATTTGATTTCTAGCACTCAGCAAAAACTAGGGGTGGTGAATGTGAGTGCTTGTAATCATCATTTGATGGTACACACCTCTAATCCCATCACTTGGGAGGCAGAGGCTACTCATCTCTGAGTTCCAGGCCAGCCAAGACTATAATAGATGTTTCAAAAAGTAAAAAAAGAAAGAACAGCTACCAGCCAGGACTGGTGCTTGCTTGTAGTCCTACTGTTGGGATGACCAGACAGGGCTGCTTCAGCCCTACAGCACTGAGATCTTGTCTCCAAACCAATCCAAACCATGGGAGCCACCCAGCAAGTTTACTACTTGCTATGCATCAATGAAAATGAATCAGTATTTTGAAAAGATATATGCTCTTCCATACCCCCATATTTACTGCAGCGGTATTCACAATAGTGAAGAAATGGAATTAAATGCCCATTAGTGAATAAATGAATAAAAGAAAACATCATATATGGACTGAGATGGTTCAGTGGGTGCAAGCACTTGCTACCAGACCTGACAGCCTGTTCGATCCCTGGAGCCTGCATGGTGGGGAGATGTAGTGAGATAGTCCTTCTATGGCACTGACCACACCCATGGCTATGGGCGGAAGTGATCTGTGGAAGGAGGTTGGAGGGAGAGCCGGGAAAAACTCTCTTGCTGGCGGGACTCGGACAGAAGAGCATCGGGTGGAATTTCCTGGTGTTCTTCTGTCTAGGTTGTAAGTTATTTCTCCCTGAATAAACATCTATTCGGCCTATTTGTTTATCCTGATCCTTATTTAACCGCAATAGGGAGAAATGACTTCCACAGGTATCCTTTGGCCTTCAATTCCCACTTGTGTACACATGCAGACACAATTTAAAAAAAGAAAAATAGCTCAGTGATAGAATGCTTCAAGTGTGACGAAATGTGCTATATGTACTCAACTGTCTTATGATTCCTACTGATCAAATGCCATGGCCAAAGCTAACTTGGGGAGGAAAGGGTTTATTTGGCTTACACTTCCAGATGGTAGTCCATCACTGAGAGAAATTAGGACAGGAACTCAAACAGGGCAGGAACCTGGAAGCAGGAGCCGATAGAGGACCTGGAGCGGTGCTACTTGCTTGCTCCTCATAGCTTACCCAGCCTGCTCTGCTCTTGAGCAGGGTTTCTCTATAGCTTTGGAGCCTGTCCTGGACTTGCTCTGTAGATCAGGCTGGCCTTGAACTCAGAGATCCGCCTGCCTCTACCTCCTGAGTGCAGGGATTAAAGGCATGTGCCACCACCAGCCAGCTCAAGTGCTGGAATTAAAAGTGTACCATCCTGTCGAGCTTCACCCATGCAATTTTATGTGAACTTTTGATGATCAGGTTTTAGACTCTGACCCTCACTCTAGTGGCAAACACTTTATCCATTGAAGCATTGCCCTAGCCCTAATTTTTTTTATTCACATATACATTGTACCTATTTGGGAGTTACCAATAATTTGCACATTGTATAATGCCTAGATTATGGTAAGGGTCAAACACCTCGTGTGTGTTTTACGTATAGGACACATTATTGTTTATAATCATCTTACCTTGCAATAGAACATCTGAATGTATTGTTTAGCAATTACCCAACCTTTTCCCCATGTGTCTGTCATAATTCTCCCTGGTCTTGGTATGATAGCAACCTGCTTATATTTTATTTAATGTTCCCCTGTTCCAGATATGTTGCCTAACAGGATTCCATCCTTTTTTTCATTGGTGTATACTCAATTGTGCTGGCTGTTTTTGTGTCAGCTTTACACAAAAGAGAGAAAAGAAATTCAAGCCAATCTTAAGGAGGCATTTTCTCAATTAGTGACTTATGGGGAGGATCTACCCCACTGTGGATGGGACCACCCCTGGGCTGGTGGTCCTGGGTTCTATAAGAAAATAGGCTGAAGGCAGGCAGTGGTGGTGCACACCTCTAATCCCAATACTTGGGAGGCAGAGACAGGCAGAGAAACTGTCTTGAAAAAAATAAAATAAATCAAATACAAGTCTCCTCATTCAGGGAGAGGATCTGCCTCAGAAAAGGAAATGGGGGATGGCCAGGAAGAAAGATCTGAAGTCAACCTCAAACCTTAAGAACCATGTGTGCCCCACATAACCAAGCATCCATATTCTAAACACATATGCCAGAGGTTTTTGTTTTTCTTTTAGCCTAACGTGTTAGTAAAGTAGCTGTAATCTGAGGCCAAGAGGTGGAGGTAGGCAGTTCAAAAATTCAAGATCCTCCTCAGCTACAAACCAAGTTCATCTGCCTGAGGGGAAAAAAAAATAAGGTTAAGGGATGTTGCCTTAAGACAAACCAAAACATCCACCCTTAAGCCTTGAACCCTACACACCCCATTCCAATTCACTATATATGGAGTAAGTCCCTGGATCCTGCAGTTTATAGGTTTATGTTCTCTTACAGACACATTCCTTAGCAGAGACTAAACAGTGCATAGCACCTTTCAGCCCTAGGTGAAGCGCTGTTGATAAGGGGGGGGAAAAAGTCACCAAAAAAACGCAGCCTAACAGAGGGAGAGGGTAAAGAGAACTGCAGCGGGAACAAAGGCCTCCTTCACCTCCAAGCGGATGACGCTTGCTCTGGGCGCTTTCACCCTGAGTGTCTGCGCGTCAGCCACGAGGCCGCAAACGTGAGCTCGGGCTAGGCGGCCGCGGCTGGGACCTGGGGTCGGGCTCAGATCAGAATCGCCTCGGTAATCAGTGGTCGGGACGGGCCCGACCTCGTCTATCTGATCAATTCATCACTTCTGAGCACCGGGCCCGCAGGACCGATCCCAGGACCTCGGGAACCGCGGCACTGCCACCGCCCAGGGGGCCTCGCTGCACAGCGCCCCGCGGAGGGGGCTTCGCAGGAGGGCTGCTTCTCATTTCGGGGCGGCCCGGCGGGGCAGGGGACACGACCCGATCAAATAAGATCAAGGTGTAGGCGGGGGAGGGGCGCGGGGCGGACACACACACTCGCCTCGCATGCCCCACGCGCGCACACGCACTCCCACATGCACACTCACAGTCAGCCCACACATACTATTCACGCAACACTTAACAGCTCTGTCCACGACCCCGGCCGCGCTCCCACTCGCGAGGGAGCGGAAGTCGCACCGTCTTTTAAAGGCTCTGTCTCGCCTCAAAGGCTTCTGGGAGGAACCACAGAGTGGTCCGGTGGCTTCCACACACCATAGTTACCCAGAGCACTCTCCTCTGCCTCCGTGTGGCTGGGAGGTCCAAGAACGGAAGGACCTATTTCCATAAACAGAATTGATTTTTGTTGTGTTTTGTTCAAGTCCAGGGTAGCCCAAACTGGTATCCTACTCAAGATCCTTTCACTTCAGCTTCCGGGAGCTGCGATGACAAGCAGGCTTCTTTACAATATATCAGTTCATATAAAATGGAAACGTTTATGCCCCTGTCTAATTTTTCTTTGATTTGATCTCTTCTTTGTCCTAATTTTTAAAATATCCAATTTCTAGCGATGAAATGATCCAGGCTCAGACTAAATGTGAATGACTTTAATTATCGTGGACTTAACAACCCTAGATTATTACAAGGACATCATAGGAACACTTCTAGGAGTGCCTTCTCTGATAATAAATACCATTTGTCACATGTATTTATTGGCAGAGTGGGAGCATCGTGTCATTGTGCACCATGGTGCATGGTGAAGATCAAAGGACAACTTGCAAGGAGTTGGTTTTCTCCTACCATGTGAATCCTGAAGTCAAATTCACTCTGACAGCTGGTACTTTACTCACTGAATCACCTTGTAACCCAGTAAATATCAAGATATTTGAGTACTTAAAGAAACGGCATCTGCAAATGGGGAAGTGTAGGGCTGTATATCCTAGCCTCAGTCTCCTGGCTGATCAAAACTTAACGCTGAATCATATTTCTGAGCCTTCATTTACATCCATTCCATTAAATATATGATGGGGGGGCAGGTATGGTAATGCATGTCTTTAACCCCAACACTTGAGAAGCAGAAGAATGTTTCTTTTATTGGTTAATGAATAATGCTGTTTTGGTCAATGGACAGGCAGGATGTAGCCAGACGAGGCCCAGGCAGGGCTACCACACTAGAAGGCTGGGAAGAGGAACACAGAGAGTTGCAGGAGAGATGCCATGTAGCTGCTGAGGAAGAAAGGGGCCCAGGCATCACCAGTAAGCCAAGATTGAGACTAAGTGGAGATACGTAGTTTAATAGAAATGGGTTAATAATCAAGAGAGAGCTAGCCAGTAAGAAGCCTGAGCCATCAGCCAAACAGTTTATAATTAATATAAGCTTCTATGTGCTTATTTGGGGCTAAAGAGCTGTGGGACCAGATGGGACAGAAACTTCTGTCTACATACCTCACTTAATATACTTAATTTTTTACTCATTAAATTTAGTACCCCCAGAAGAATGCCTGGCCAACATATCTTTGGAGCTGTATCTTGTCCAGTTGCCTTCATAAGAAACTCGTCAGACGACAACATTCACGCAGGTGAGCCAACATGCTATGCAAAGCAGCACTGAACAGTTCAATAAATACACATGAGAAAGCAGACAACCATCACAGGGAAAAGGTTTATTTTCAAGGATGGTGCCAACAATGGTGAATAAAAACTGGTATTTCAACAATAAAAAGGAGCTGATTCCATTTGACCCTGGTGCACTGGGTTCATGGTGATGAACCTGAATCTGAAGCAATGTTGCTACCTTACACCTCCACCCCAAAGGACTCCCCCAGAGGAACAGGTCATCATTTTTCCCTTTGCCAAAAACAAGACACATCAGCTTAAATAGTATACACCAGGGTCCTATGTACCTGCTTACATAAAGTCAAGAGTCAAGAAGTGAAATAGGCTATTGGCTTCTTCATGTACTTTTTGGAACATTCTGGTAAGAAAACATCTCAAAATCTACCAACTCAGGCATTTAGGCCAAAAGGACCCATAAAAGATGTTGCAGAATGGAAGCTATTTAAGAAATGAAGCTGCTCTACAGACCAAAGTCAGAGACATCAGCCCTGTTTGAAAACAAGTCATTAAATACAAAGTAACTAGTACTGAACCTGCTCCCCAAGGAACACCTGGTGGGTAAACAGATCCCCAGCGCACACTCACAGGATCTCTGCATTTCTTTTCTCTCCTATGAACAATCCTCAGGAATGACCATGGAGAAGAAATCACTGCAATCTGCCCTGTGGACCAGTCCCTGAAGAGGGCTGCTCACACAGGCTGTGCTTTACACCACTACAATCAAAGCACTCAAACGCATGGGCACTGAAGCTTCCCAGCAGCCTTTGCTCTTGCAATGTATACAGACAAGAGAACCTAACTTCACCTGGGAGTGAGCCACAGTGCTTGTCATCAAGCTTTTCAATGGGCAATTCAACTGGAATATATACCCTTGTGTATTATCACTAATATTAGACCTACTTTATTTTTAGATTGTTGTAGACTTTACACCTAAGCTGATTCTTTTGCAGGCATAAGGAGGAAGGAATGGAGAAGTCTTCCCTTCAAATGTTGAGTCATCTAACATCATCTGTCCTCACACTCCCCGGGAAAGCCCTGAATACTGAGTTGGAAAGCTCCATTTTCCATTACTCAGTAACACACTCGTTTTATTAATGGAGTCTATGAGCTGTCCAATATGTTAATATCAGTGACTCCTCTCATTTCAATTTCTCATGGTCTTTCAGTAAATACAGCAGTGAAATACTGCAGTATGTAGAACTGAGAGTTGTCAGGGACACAACTAAAAATTGCTGTAACCCAGATTAAAGAACAAGCTTGCATCTTTTATAACATGACAGAATTCCCATCTCTATATATTTTCATTACAATAAATTCTTATACTAGATGAATTTCCTAGTATATGAATTGATATACTAATTTACTTATCATTTCTACCAGAACTTCAAATATATTAATCAATTATTTATTCAATAGTTCCCTCCTCCGGCACTGGTATTTAAAACTGAGTACCAGTACCTAGTACTAAGTCATTTAGAAAGAACTGAAAAGGCTTTAGGAAATAGCAAGAGTTGGTTCATTTTCTACTACCAGTTGGTCAAATGGAGGCTTCTTTGGGGACAGTGGTAAGCAGAAAATGCTTGTCTCAGTCACTGCTTCTTGTCTCCCAACCAGTAACCCTGGATAGCGCATAGGCTCAGGTTCTCTTGGGGAAACCTCAAGTTCCCAGCACATGGCAATCTGTGTTCTCTTCACTGAGAACCATGCTCTCTTCAGCTCCCAGATGGCCACAGAAGAAACACATTCCAAAAGCCAAACCATCCCTGGTCTTTCACAACTCCTATTTGCCCCAAGCTCCTCCCTCCCTCCCTAATGCAACAGATTCAAAGGTCAAGTGTTAAAAATTATCTGCTGGCATACACCTTTAATCCCAGCACTCAGGAGGCAGAGGCAGGCGAGGTCATCCTGGTCTACACAGAGAACTCCAGGACAGCCAGGGCTGTATAGAGACACTGCCTAAAAAAAGTCTTGACTTCTAGGGAGTCTGAACACAGCCTATATCCTTCCCTAATGAGCCTCAGTTTTAAAAGGTTCTGGTAAGGAATTGAAGAGCAAAACAAATGACCAGTTGTAGGTTGTTTTTTTAGTGTTGGGGCTCAATTCCAGGACCTTGACAATGCTAAGTAAAGGCTCTACCACTGAGCTACCACCCAGCCCAGGTTTTTAAGCAGGAGGTACATAATCATATCACTAAGGGGTGTGATTTATCTAGAGATAATATGCTTGCTGCTGAGGGCTGATTTATACAGAGATTAAAAAAAAAAAAAAGGTGGCTTTCTGGAGTCCTCTGGAGCAGAAATAATGTTCGTGACCATGACTTTCCCCGCATATGGCAGGCAGATGCTGCAGGGTCATCTTAGGGACACTGATGGTTTTAGCTGGACTCTCCTACACTGGGTCCAGGATTCCGACAACTTCTTCATCTTCATCCCCTTGGTTGGCAGTTGATGAGTGGGATACTTTGGAACTCATTTGATAAACAGAACGTAAAAGGCCATTACAATGCAGGCAATTGCAACAGCAGCATGCAGCCGGGTCCCAATCACAGCAGCTAGAAGACAAGAGCAAAGAGATGTTACAGCTGGCTCCTCACAAAACCCTTCCTTCCAAAGCCATGTTCTGAAGTCTTTAAGGAGAACCAAGGGTTTCCTGAGTCTGGGAATGTTCTTAATTGATACATTATGCTCTGGGATTTACACGAATTGCCTATCCCCTTTCTCCTTCTTTTTTGAAATAGAATCTCACTATGTAGACCTGGATGGCCTTGAATTTGTAAGTAGAATGAGAATGTCTTTGAACTCATGGAGATCTACCTGCTTATCTGCCTCTGCCTCCCAAATGCTAGGATTAAAGGTGTGGGCTGCCATGCCTGGCCTCCCTCAAATTCCTTTTGAGTCAAAAATTCACTATGCAATCTAGGCTGGACTTGAACTCCTGAGTGCTAGCATTACAGATATGTGTCATCATACCTGTCCTTATTTTACCCTACTTTGAATAAAAAAATAGTTATGTAGGATTCTTGATGAAGGTACCCAAAATAACAAAATATATATGTATGTATGTATGTATGTATGTATAAAGATAAAAGTTAAGTTCCAATGTGTTCTGTTAAAAAAAAAAAAATCAGTGGATGTGCTGGAGAGTTGGCTCAGTGGCTAAGAACACCTGCTGTTCTTTCAAATGACCTGAGTTTAAGTCCTAGAACCCACAGAGAGTTTCACCACCTCCTCAGGCACCAGGCATGCATGTGGTGCACAGACATGTACAGGCAAAATATTCCTATGAATAAAATAAATCTAAACAAAAATTTTAAAAATTGGTGGGAAAAATATTCTTTCTGCTAAGAGGAATTTCAGGCTAACCTAAAATGATATAACTTGTAATATAGCCCCTCCTCACCCCAGGACAAAATATTATGCTGTTGCCCACAGTGGCTTCTTGGCTTCCCAAGTAGCTGGGACTATAAGCATGCGCTTATAAGTAAATTGTAAACTTTTACTTAATCCTAGAACACCAAAACTACCTAGATGGTAAAATAAGCAAGTATCCTTAAGTAACAGCAAACTTAAAATTTACCTCTTCCCTCAACTTTAGAAATGACTATTTTACATTATTAACAGACGCTGGGCAGACAAGTTACCACATAAACCTGAGGACCTGATTTAAACCCCATATGCCACACAAAGCTGGCCAGAGTCACATACATCTGTACTCTCAGCACTACTAAAGTAAGTAGGCAGGGCAACTCCTGAACTCTCACAGGCAGACTAGCCAGGTGTGCTTAGCAGCAAACACACCCACAACACGTCATACATACACTCATATACTATAGAGGAATCCAAATATAACTCCAGCCGTACACTTTCTGGTTTATAGGACCACACTGCCCAGACATCTCCATTTCCTCTTTGTGTCCAGGTAAGACCTTACCTTTGTAAAACACACCCCAAACTCCTTTCTTCTCGGAGAGCAGCCAGGTTTTGAGACGAGGTACTTTCTTGAAGTAGGCACAGGTGCAAACAAAGAGCAAACCAAACACCAGAATCCCATCCAAGGAGTACACTGTCACATGAAAAAGAGGAAGTCTCTGGTGATGCTCTAGCTTGGAAGACATGAGCCTGCCCAGAGATCACCTTAACAGCAGTACCAACACTCAGTAGGAAGGGTCCAACACCTGTCACTATTTCTCCAACTTGCTTGTAAACAAGCACTTTACTGCCCCATCCTTTGTAAAAACTGAAAACGTGTGTATTTGTGTGGACCTAGTCTCTTGGGAGTAACTGGTGCTTGTACTAGGTTTTAAGGCTAGTGAGAGTCTGAGCATAAAGTTTACATATGTTATTGGTATAAATCTTTCATCTGATGAAGGAAAGATCAATCTTTAGTCAAGTTTCTTATATCTGCATCTGTTGATAAAGCATGTTAAGGCAGACCATAAAACTTAATGGAAATTCCAAGAATTAGACTTGGCTACACTTTTGCTATACTCAGTTGATATACTTCCAGCATGAGTCACCATTTACAAGTCAGACTCCTGCCAGAACAAAAGTGTACATAAGGGGGAAAAAAAACACTGATATCCAAAAAGTGCATCCATAATGACGCACTCCTGTAACACTGGCATTAGCAAAGCCAGCCTAAGCTACAAAAGGAGACCATGTCCTATTTTTGTTTTTGGGACAGGGTCCTGCTAAGTAATAAGTAAGCAAGGATGATTTTAAACCTGTGGTCTGCCTGCCTCCCTCCCTCTTCCCAATGCCAGGCTTGTGCCATAGATATCATGTAAAGTCTGGTCTCAAAAACAACAAAACAAAACATGCCTGATGCTTAGACACCATGGAAAGGTCTTAGCTCTGTTTCATGTGCTAAATAGGTAAGTAAAATGAATTACATAAAGGTAAATTTCATCCACTACACCAGAATGTTCTATTTCCTAGTTTACATTATGTCTTTCTCTGAGCGATGCTCCTTTTCTACTCTGTGTACTATGGTTAAGACTAACTACCCAGAAAACCTTCAGATGGAGATTACGTACAACCAGTGTCTGCCAGTTCCTCCCAGTTCTGAACCACACTGTCTTTCTTTCTCCAGTGAAACTATTTCACAGCTAGTTCCAGTACACCAATCAGTACACTCACTATTTTCATGGATACCTTTCTGTGCTATTCTTTTGCTCCTGTAAGTTCTTGTGGACAACGACAAAATTCACAAGGATGTGACATTTGAGTCTTCAGTGTCAAGTCTATGGAAGTTTCTGAGAAATGCTTTTCCTGAGCCCCTTCAATCATACTGCCTAAAAAACTTTCTCACTCCCTTTCCTGGAAGACTGACTACAAAGGTCTTAAATCTCTAGAACTTGGAATTCATGACTATAAAATTGTCTGATGCAGCCTAGAAAAGTTAAGTGGAGATAAGCAGGGGCCAAGTGCTCCATTGGTAACAAAAGGCGGCTTCTAAATCCACCCTTTGCAACACAAGTCAAAATCTCAGGAGGGAACCACCCAGCTAGGACTTTAAAGCCAAACAAGTGAAGAGTTTTTGCCTTAAAAAAAAAAAAAAAAAAAACTTTGGGGATTGTCTGTGTACATTGACTTCTCCCACAAAGTGTGTGTGTGTGTGGGGGGGGGGTGTTGATGCCATTTCTAGGTCCTCTCAACCAGCCTATTGTCCGAAAGTATGAGACTTTAGGAAACTTGATGATATCTTCTATTCCCTGGGGACTAACAGCGCTAATTCTATGGTGATCGATCTCCCCAGTGGCCGCAACCAACTTCTAGTAAAGAAAAGATAGGGTGATAACCAAAAAGTGAGGTGTGGGCACTAGGCAGCACTGGGGAACATTAATGGACTTGAGAACAAGGAACTGCGAGAAGCCTCCCAGAAGGAGTTGGGGGCTCCCCAAGGCCCAGGGGGGCTGGGCTGGGAGGAGGCGGGGGGAGGGGGAACGGCCACGTCAGTCTAGCCCCGCCCGCCACGTCTGTCCTCCGTCCCCTACCGCCACCCTCCGCCACGGCCCTCAGATCAGATCTCACCGTTCGTCATGGCGGTAGGGCCCGGCCGGCCGGGATGAGGGGTCCGGGTTCAGCAGTAGCGACGGCGAAGGCGGGGGAACCCGGCTCCCACTTTGACACTTCCCGATCCGGGCCGAGGTGACGGGAACCGGCCGTACGCAAGCGCAAGGGCGGAGAGACGAACGCCGAACTCAATCAGACGTGACTAGCAGATCGTCGAGTTAAGGACTCTGCCAGCGTAGTTTCTGCGTCCCGACGTAGCAGAGGCGAGCATGGCCGCGACGCTTCCTTTGTGGTCATGGCAACCAGATGTCTGCAGCTTGAACGTGTCTGACTAGACGGACTAGACCGCGTCCGTGCGTTTGAGAAATAAAGGCTGTAGGATTTGCGCTGTGGCTGCTGCTTTGTGTGTCTTTTGTGTGTCTGTGTGTGACAGCAGGAGCCTGCCTACGATCCTGGGAGAACTCTGCTCTCTTTTTTCTCCACCGCGCAGTCTGCCAGAGCATGTTCTTCTTAAGAACAAAACTTTTGGGATCAAGTGATTCCTGACCAAGAAACAAAAGAAAAACCATCCCCTTTCCTCCAACTCATTTAGATTACAACTGGTTAGGTGTACTTTTAAGAGGACACCGGGAACCAGGCTGGGTCCCTAAGGAACTGCATGTGAGGTGGGTCACATGCGTAGCAGTCATTTCATCCTACCATAGCAATCTGAAAACAGCATCATTGCCAGGAGAGTTGAACCTGTCTTCTTGAGAATACAATTGTTCGTTGTTTTGCTTCTATGCTCTGCAGTAGTACTATGTTCCCTAACATCTGAAACCCAACGAGAGTATGAGGGTGGAGGGAACGCAGCAGTAGGTGCTCGGGCCTCAGGGGTTTCCCTGTTGGGGGGCTTCTCCTGGCAGAAATCTAGCCAAACGGGCATCTAAATTTTGTAAAGGAAACAAGGAACTTTCCAATAAAAGCCGTTGTCAGAATTATTCAGACGATTTCCTGTTTTTTTTCTTTTCCTTGAACTATCAGGAGAGTTTCCTTTGTCTGCTGCACTTAAGTCATGTTGGGGCTGCCTCAGGCACTTTATTCAGAAATCTGCCCTATCATGGCTTTTATGAAGATATTTTGACAAGATGATAAAAGCCATCAGTCTAATGATGGAGTAGGGTACGAGACAAAGCTATAGGTTCTACTTTGTAAGCTGGAACCTTTAATTATAGACAGTTCAGTCTGCTTTATTAGAGTCTGGATGAAAACGCTACACTGAGTCATGAGAGTTCTGTCCATTCCTGCTACAGTGCCATCTGCTGTGAACTGCCCGGTGACCTAGAAAAAAACTGTCCAAAGGTTTGGAATGGAGAGTCAAGAGGAGGGGGAAACCAACATCACAAACAGCTATCTAGCTAAAACAAACCTTCATGCAGGAAAGAGTCCTTGAGAAAACATGCTTAAATTAAGAAAATGCAGCCTCAAAAAATAAAAGATATATAGAAAAAAAAAAAACGAATATAAACCAGGCAGTCACTCAGATTACATATGCATGAGCATACACACAGGGCATTCCACAAACCAAAACAGTAGAGAAGGCTCAGTGGTTACGAGCATTTGCTGCTCTTGCTAAAGACCTGAGTTAGGTAGGTTTCCAGCACCCAAGTGATGGCTCACAAGTGTCTGCTCCTCTAGTTTCAGGAGAGCCTGTTCCAGAAATAATATGCCTTCCTAATCAAAAATCGCCCCTCACATGGAAGAAAAGCTCTGTAGTAAAGTGCCTGGCAGGCTGTAGTTAATCCATAAGCTAGAATTGACCTTCACAGAAGATTTTACTAACTGATATACAAGTTAGGCTTATGTATTCCAGTGTCATCCTTCAGTCTCTTTTGGGTCTCAGCCCTAGGTTACACTTCGATCAATTTAAAACAGAGACAGGATACTATCAGTCTGGCCACTTCAGGCACATAAGCAAAAATATTACTATTGTCAGAATTATTTTAAGTATACCAGTGTTGTTTTTTTTTTTTTTTTTTTTTTTTTTTTTTTGAATGGCTGTTACCTAGGATCATCTTGTGCACTTAGCAAAACTATATCTTCCCTGTTAAGAACACGGGGGTCTTACCTACAGACTAGGACTTGATGGTGGTTGTGACCTAGGATGCCCTCTTGAACTACCCTCTGAAAGGTATGTCTAATGGAAGATATGACCTAATGTCAGCTGGTCAATCCTGATGAGTAAACATTTACATCCTAGCACCCTAAATTTCACTGTCTCAGAGGCCTGGTTGGCATACTACTTATCTTTTTTTTTTTTTTTTTTTTCCTAGACAGGGTTTCTCTGTGTAACAGCCCTAGCTGTCCTGGAACTAAGTCTGTAGACCACCCTGGCCTTGAACTCACAGAGATCCACCTGCTAGCATCCTATCCCTTCCCACCTCCTCTCCTACTCTAAACTCCCTCTAGCTCAGAGTGTCCCTGCTGATGCTGCTCATCCTTCTTGAAACCCAGCTGTTTTCACTATCCTTCCCTTTGGTTCCAGCTCCTATTTTCACAAGTTTTCTCTTCTCCTTCCCGCTCCCCTAGTCCTGGTCACACCCGGTCTGCTGGCTATATCCAGTCTACTACTGTCTCTCTCTACTTTGGATTCTAACAGATGCCTCTGGCTGTTCTCTCTCTCATATCTACAACAAAACCTTCCCATACCTGGGCTCAACCATGTCGTCAGTTTATACATATATGTTGTTTTCTCCTGAGTAAAATTTCAGCAAAATGGTGTATCCTTTCTAGGGCTATTGGATAAAATGAACTACTGTTTAGAGAAATAAGTGACGAACAGCCCTGCTCCATCAAGACTAAGCTACCATAGCTGGGCAAGGGTGGGATACGCTTTTAATCCAGCACTCAGGAAACAGAAAACCAAGCCAAAAATAAATAAATAATTAAAAAACAAACTAGCTACCATAGTTAATATTCATTTGTTAAAGAGTATTTACCAGTTTTTTTTTTTTTTTTTTTTTTTTTTTTTTAAACACAGGGTTTTCTGTGTAGCTTTGGAGCCTACCCTAGAACTAACTCTGTAGATCAGGCTGGACTCGAACTCACAAAGATCCACCTGCCTCTGCCTCCCAAGTGCTGGGATTAAAGGTGTGTGCCACCACTGCCCAGAAACTAGGTTTTACAGAAATAGACGCCAAAAAAAAAAAAAAGTCCCTGCCCTCAAGAGAACAAAATATATAGGTAAGACTGCTGAATAAAAAAATCTAGTGTATACTGCCATTGTACAGCTAACATTATTTTTGATTTTGTAAAATATCTATGGAATATTTTTAAACAAGAAGTCAAATGGAGAGTCTGGAAGAAGGGACATGAGGGAGAGCCTGTAGGTAGCTAGGATCTAGACCTAGGTCTGTGTAGCTTCAAATCTCCCTTCTACTTGTTATCACAGTGTCTCAAATTTCAGTTGCTCTCCACCCATACTGATCTTTGGTGATTTTTGTCCCCAAGCATTATGTTCTGTCTGGATGGAAAGCCTCCTCGCCTGGGTGCCATCAGTCCCCTGCAGACATGTTTCACCCCGGGCTGCAGTCTGGGTCACTGGCTCTTAAAACACAAATGCAAGGAATAATAGAGCCCGGCTGCACTGGCGTCTCAGTTCACACTTCTTAGTCAGTTCATTTCAGCTGACACCGGAGAGCTGTTAGCTCTTGCCAAATGCCTGTCAGTTCAGAACAGTGGCCTGCTTGTTAGGATTGCTGTGGTCACTGGTGAACACCAATCAGTCTTGGGGGACCATGACCAGAGCATTCTGCTTTAACCAAAGGATAAATTCAGTCCTGAAGGCATAGCTTGCAACAATAGCTTCATTTGAATGACAACAAACAGGCATTCATGGATGCCCTACACAATTGTTTCCAGACTTCTGAGAGTGAGGAATGTGCTAATCTTAGGAGTCAAGAGATGAATGAGAAGCAGACTCTGTTCTTATAAGTTTAAGATTTAGTAGGAACAGATAAGCTGCATATAGAAATAACCAGAAAAATGAGGCAGAGAGTGAGAATTGTCAAAGAGGAATAAAAACTATGTGTGATGGCAAGATGAAGGAGAAATTGCTTTCAGTCAGAGATGGCTTCATCATAGAGCAGACATCTCACCAGGCATGTAAAGTTCCCCCCCCCCAAAAGCTTGCAATGCCTCAATAGAGGTGAAAAACATTCCTGTGGGGGGAGCCTCCATCAAAGGTTGGAGAAGGTCAGAGCATATTTTACTTGCTTACCTTACTAGCTAACTCCATGCATCTCTCAGGCCTTGGCTGAATCCCCACCTGCTCAAAAGAGGCTTCCTCTGACCTTGGAGCATCTTCCCCAGCACACACTTCTAAAGTATATGCTACCAAATTCATTGGCCTGCTTCACTGTAAGGTTCACTTGCACTGTCTGTCTTTTTATGGGTGTTGAATATTTGGCAGCTGCTTGTCAATTGTTTGTTGCAGGGCCTGGGAGATGGCCCAGTGGGTAAAGGTGCTTGGTACCAATGTTGACAGCTTGAGTTCAATCCCTGGAATGTAACTGGTGGAAGGAGGAGACCAATTCCTGCAAATCATCCATTGGCATTCACACAAGCACCATGGCACATATGTACAGATACACTCAATAAACAAACATATAAATAAGTATAAAAACATTGAAAATCACTGCATGAATAATTGAGTGTGGTTCATGTAAAACTGGGATGTCAGAATTTGGGAAGAGGAATGCTGTTTGACAGAGTTTTCCTGGGGAGCCACCGCGCGCACGTGCACACACACACACACACACACACACACACACCATTGGGTCAGAAAGGGAGCCAACAGCAAGCCAAAGTAACAATGGCACCAATGGTAAACCAACTGAATTGGTGTTGTGGTTACTAACAGGATTTGGATGAGGGGCTACATACAAGGGTCAGGAATGATTGAAAACCAGCTTCATCACACAAAGGCCCACCTCAACACTGATGCTGACTCATGGAAGCTGTCCCTGGGGAGTTCTCTGCACTATTGGCAGGACTGTCTGAGATTCTGGTCAGAGACTAACCCCCCCCCCCCACACACACACAGTTATTTACTCCATTTTAAACTGCTGGGGCCAGGCACTCAGATACATGAGATGGGAGCCTCTCTCCCTCCTATGTGGAATTTTTCAATTCCGAGAAAACTG